TAGTGCAGTATATGGTTATGGACCTATGGATTAATCAAGATACCCAGTGATGCTGTTCCTACTCCAAATTTAAGTTGGACCTTTTATTTTGGTATCCTGATGTAGTATCTATCAACATCAAAAACATCACTGGCAGAGAGAGGCTGCTGAATGAAATCTTTGAATGAAGTAGGAAGTTGGTACCCTCTTTTTCTCAACCTATGCAAATTTTTCTGAGTGCATGAGTAATAATTTGCTACTTTTCCAACACATGCATTTCTTTTCCAACAGATGCAAATATTTTACTACATGAAGTCCTATTATTTTTTCCATCCAGATGATGGACAATGATAAGCGACTGTGGGCTTACTCATACACCTTCTTTGCCCTGTTGCAGAGATGTGACAAAAAGGTAGCAGTGGGAAACTGTTATAGTTAAGAGTATGAGAAAGAGACTTGAGTGGAACACATGGAGGGCATTCTAACTTCAAGTATGCAAGGAATATGGATAGCTTTATCTTGACATATTAATATGAAGGAGAAAAATAAGCACCCATTTCAAGACAGTGTCATTTCTCTAGGTCTGGAGTTAAAATATTGCCTAAAAGCTTTGCTTGGATACAGTGACAATAATTCTGTTCTCAGAAAGTGCTGTGTTTACGGACTAGAGCATGCTTGTTTGGGTTCACATAAATGTGGTCATTTCCCTACTTGTGACTTTAAACTGCTTTTGTGCCAAAATCTGAGTAGTAAGAATAGGCTTTATATTGATTCAACAATAGTTGGGTGATGTTATAAAAACACTGTAAATCATTAGTGAGGAAATGGCCTGAGTCAAACATAGGTTTGTTTGGTTTTCATTATCAAGTCTTTCTGGGCTCAAAGCAAGCAAGCAATCTTTAGAAGCTCCCTTGATAGTTTGACACAGGTGCTCAAAGTGTTGGAAGTGCCCTTTTGGATCTCCTTCATCAAGTTTGACTCTCCCTCCCCCCCCCATGCTTGTGTCTTGAGTGTGCTAAGAAAAGGGCATGCAAAGATTATCCCTGGAGTACACTTTAGTTACAATTACACCTACAGCAATATTGTGCCAGAGAGTGCACAAAGAGAGTATCTACCTTCTTTCCAGAACAAATGAGATTGCAATGGTGTCCATGAAAGGAATTTGGGGAGGGGCAAGGGGAGAAAGGAAATTCCAGAGCATGATAGTGCCATCATGATCAATTATGGTACGCTACATGGGAAGCTTTTGGAAATCTTAAAGATAAATAAAGACCTTCACTGTAGGGAAGCTAACAGACTAGATTTATTGGAGCACAACTGAATGAAGTTGTCTAATAATCAATTACACTGATATTTTCACATTTCTCATTGTTTTACGTACTGGATTCCTTCAACAAATAGAGGTCCAGCTAGTTCTAAGGTAGAATGCACACAGTAACAACTTTCCTCTGCAGATACAATAGAAAATTGGCAGGATTTTTCTATGGCCTGGCATTTGGCCAAAGGTCAAATTGAGTGTTAGTAGAAGGGCTGCTGCTGTAAACCTCTTTCCCTTCTCTTCCTTATAACAAGGTGTGGCATGCTACTCTTACACAATGCTTTTGCCCTGCCCCCACTCCACCACAAACTATGTTAAGTAGGGATCAGGAGGCATACAATGCAGTGACATCACACCGCATTGTTTAAGTTTTTAATTTTCTCATAAAAAGTGAGGAAAATTGACAGATGAGATGCAAAATAATGAGCCACTCTCAGCGTCTTTTAAAAATTAGTTTGGCCCTATAATGCCAAACCAGTGCTTGCAAAACAATTCCAGCCATGTTTTAATTACTACGCATAGCAAGTAGGTCAGGTTTGCATCTTATTTGGCTAAGAAATCATTTTCCTACATAGGGAAACAGTGGCTGATCTGCATTAGGATTATGAAACAGTGTAGACGACAAGCAAAATTTTAAAAAAGAAAATTGCAAGTCAGATCCTGCAACTCAAATTTAGGTTTGCAAGATTATACCTCTTCTAAGGGTATAAATGGGATTACCTTTTAAATTCTACAAAAAAGGGTCTGAAACATGCATTACGGGCAACCGTAAGTCATTTGCTTGTGCTAATTGTTGATTTAATAAAAATTCAGATTTTAAGTGTGTGGGTGGATAAGTGGATAGAATTTATCTTGTTTCTAAATTCCATGGTGAGATTTCAAAGAAATCACAAAATTATTACCAGGCTCAAAATCAAACAACTTAAATCCCACATCTTTCAATGTTAATTCTTAAAGAGATCATTGTTAAAATAAGTTACCTAGAAAATTCAACCAAACTTTGCTCCCCAAAATTGCTGGTTATTTTTCCTTTACTTTCCTCCCCCTTTCCTTCCTTTTCCTTGTTTTTTAAAAAGGTAATGCTTGGAACATGATCCTACAGAGCCATTGTGAGCCATTGTTAAATTGGAAGCGCCCGATGTGACACATGTGACACCTTTGTGACATGAAGTCACACCCAGACAAGTTTGAAGACAAGAAAGTGAAAGCTCTTAATTTAAGATTTATATTTGGCACTTCTAGCTTGGCATGTGATTTCTCATGTGTAAATTTCAAATCCCTTGAAATGTGATATGTGCAGTCTTGTCAAAATTACATTGTTTGTGATGGAAAACCATCCCATTTTGCATACCTATTTTTGATGGATGTGAAAGAGATGAATAAGATTTTCTGGTTGTTCATTTTGATGAAGTGAGGAAACCTAAAAAACACTATGAAGTTTAATTCTATTTGTACAAACTTAACCAAAGGTTTTTAGTTTGAAGTCTTCACCTAGAGTTGGAGGCATACAAACTGTCCCAATAGGAACTGATATTCAATAGATTTCTTTAGAGCTAGGCAGCTTTTAATTGAGGACTGTAATCCTGTGTTTATTTTAATAAAGAAAAAAAGAACCTTGCTGGATCTGAGAAGACTCACAAGCTGTTGCCTTATCCTGAAGAGAATCATTGTGATGCGTAATCATTATTTCCCACAATTTAGAACTGTCCACTGCCCTTTCTTGTAGTACCCAACATTACTATATTTAGACTGCAAAGATCTGGATGACCACACAATGGCAACAAAGGATTGGATTTGTCCTGCTATCTAGTGGTATTCTGGATTTCTGCACCAAAGTAATATCAAAAATTCGGCATTTGTCTTGTTTGAACTAATTTGGGTTTGTTGTTAGCTTTTTTAACTGGAGCCAACTTGGTTCTTGATCATACAGTTCACCTTGGACTAATCAGCTTTTCATCCTAACATTATTTGTGGAACGCCTTTCCCAATGTAAGTGCTTTTATTCAGTTGTCCTTTTCCCCATCTAATAGACTTCCAAAATCAAAAATAAGTTTTTCAAATGCTCATTTGCTTTCTTTTGCAAAAACCATTTGTTAAGAAACTTTTGTGGAAAAGTACAGGCAGTATTTATTTGATTTGCTAATGCTGCTAAATTCAGAAATACCAACATCCTTCAGGAACATATATTTTCTTCCCCATGTTCACACTTATATACTAGCCTTTTCCTCATTATCTAGTTTCCAATTTCTTTTAATAAGCCTTTTGACATATGCTGTTGCTTTACAAAAATTTCATGGAACTTTGTTTCTAATATACTGATCTGTAACCATCTAATTATTAATGCCAGTTGAGTGGTGAAAGGAAAAATTTCTTACCTAAATCCAGATGAAATTACAAAGGTTTGCTTCATCAGTCTGTATAAGATAAAATATATTCAAGGAAACTGAGGGATATTATATTCTGCATTAAAAGCAAAACCAAAACATTCCATATAATTATTTCACACCAATAAGGCAAGAAACCACTTTCAAACTGACTTTTTTTTAATGACTACTTTTTTCTGGGCTAAAACCCAATGGCCATATAGCCTGATTTTGTTTCTTTACTTGAAATTATCCCATTTCAGTTTAGTGAAGGTGTTGAAATTATCCTTTCAAGATCAATTGATCTTTGGATTTTCTGAGGAGCTTTAGAGTTCTCCAAGGATGAGAAATTATGCCCAAGATGTATTTTTGCTGCAGCACTTTCATGAATTCTGAGTGTAGAACATTTTTAAAGCAAAAGATTTCAAACGTTCCAAACTCAAAATAAACTTATATTCTGTTTTGAAGTTGGAACAAAATAATTTGATTTGGACTTTGGTATAAACTCAGTTGTTTCAAATGGGGGCAATTCTATGCTTCAGTCATAGAATGCAATGGAAAGCTTCAAGTTGCCCAGTTTCAAAAACCTCCTTGAAAGGTTGGAAAAAAACCCCGAGACTGGTGTAGAGTTTTGTTTTGAAAAACCAGAACTTTCTTAATCAGTTTAAATAAAAAAAGGTTTTGTTTCATTTTTTCTAAATTTAATAGAGGGATCCAACATTTTTGGTTTGGTCAACCAGATCTCCATTTATTGCTTTTGAGCAGGCTCACTGAACCCCCTTATTTTTAGGGGTCTCAGATCTGACTCTGCTCTTCCACAAAAACCTGTGTTTAAAAGCTCAGTGGAATGTGATGTAGCTTATGCTACTTTTTATAACATTTTGTAGAAAAGATGAGTTACTGATTTTGGTGTGTTCTAAAGCCCAACGTGGGAACTCGTTCTTACAATTAGAATTATGGAGAAGATGTCACAATGAAGAAAAAATTCTTTAGAATTGGAGTAGGACTTCTTTCTCATAGAACTAAGCAAGAATACTTGCTTATGCCAAAGCAGCCCTGAGCAAGCTTCCCTGAATGTAAGTTAAGTTCTGAATTCTCTGGGTCTTTGCCTGAACAAAAATATATACCCCAAATTATATACTTTGTTTTGAATTATGTCTATAATTAAAAATAAGTTTTTTGTTAAGATGTCACTAAATGCCTTAGTGGACAGCAGACTTTTTTATTTTAAAAAATTCAAGTAAGTAATTATACACATCTTGGTAAAACTATTAGCTTAAATGCACTTGTTATCTGTTAGAAATGAATGATGATAATAAATAAATGATTGAGGCTGTCAATACCTTTATGGAGTGTATAAAATTATATTTTCCTTGATCTAAATAATAACAAAAATGTACTTGTGGCATGAATATATACAACACAGGTCCTGACATATATTTAAATTACCTTAGCCAGCAGTGCTCAGTTCAATTTTTTTTAAATGGAGAAAATATAATAAATAAAAGTGTTAAATATTTACATTAAAAGAATATGTGGAATCAGTAGATGAACACATATATCCAATTTTCAGAGGAAAAAAAGGAAAATTAGGCTTGTGTGATCTCTTTACCCCTCCCCCCAATTCTTAATGTTATTTATGAAACAAATATTAACATCCCTAGATCACTGAAGATAAATTATATGCACACTGAGATGATCTGCTGACATTCAATGGTACATACATGTTCTGATTCCCACAAATAAACAAGACTTCTCACAGACTGAACTTTAGAAGTTGGGAATCATACTAATAGATCTTTGGGCTTTTTAACTTCTGTGTGATGATTTATTCTGAAGTGGTCACAATTCTTCCTCTATCAGTTCATTTTCAAAAAGGGCACTTGCATCAATCCTCATACATTTTGTTGTTTCAAAGGGTGATTTAGGACTGTGACCAGATTCACTACTCATCGTAATCACAAAAAGCTCTTCCCCTCCCCCCCAAATGCAAATAATATTTCCTAAATGCAATGTCCTTATACATTTTTCTAACTATCTTCATCAAAGAGGAAAGGGTTTCACTTGAGATTCCTGAACCTGATACCGTACCTTCATACTTCCATCCTCAGCTTCATAGTGGAACTTGATGTCCGGCAAGTTTTACTAGGGTGCTAGGTTGTGGAACAGTCATTTATATTATGCTGCTCCACTTTTGCAATTATGAGTTGTCCAGTCAGTGCAACATCAGAACTACCTTTGCATATACTTTGCATATAAACAGCTATAGATATCCCAAAAATGTAATAATTGGGAAAATTTTAGATATGAAGCTCTTTGCAACTAAGTAAGGTCTAGTCTTTCTTTCTAAAACATCTGAATAGTTAACACTGCCTTCTCCAAGCTGGGATCATTCGAAAGAGTTGGCTTAGAAACAGTACAATCCCCATCCAGCAATATGAGAACTTGAAGTTCAATTCATCCAGAGTTCTACTAGTTTGGTAAACTTGGGGCATAATACACTCCAAATATTTTAGATGGCACTGTTTTCCAGAAAGGTTTATCACTTTTTAAAAGGTTTTAGGAACACCTTCTTCCAGTAAAGTGTTGACTGAAGTTTCAATGTGTAAATATCTTGAGTGATCTTATATGTTCAAATAATAACAAACAGCCATGATTAAAAGCAACATGAAATATAACATACTAATTCTGGACCATGAAAGTTGCAATCCAAACTTAATGAAATAAGTTCCATTAATTTGACAAAGTTACCTATATTTCGAAGAAAATGTGATGAGGATGGAGGTATGGAGAAGTGTGTAATTCACATATTTAACCAGATTAAATCATTGTAGTGCTTGGTTTGCCCTCTCTTCACCAACAATTTCTCTAACAGCTGCCACATAATGGTGGCCTTAAAGCATAGAAATACTGCAACCCTGTAACCTTTGGGATATTGATTTCTGATACAGTGAATAAGTTTTCCATCAAGCCTGAAAAAAATATGTCAAAAATGTGACACCCACTTAAATCTGAAGTGGAGTAGGGCTTTTAGATTTACAGTATTAAAAAAGAGATTTGTATAATACTGAACTAGCAGAGAAGGCCCATTCGCCTTATCCAGAAGCTGGTTCTGTAATTAACCAATTTTCAAAGGAATGATGGAGGAATAAACTGCCCAAACCAGCACAGGGAAATACTTAAGGCAGATGGTGTCATTTAAAAAGGAGCTGAATGTAGGCTCAGAGGATAACTAAGCTTGCATTTGGAAGGTCCCCTTGACCATACTCATTAGTCTTCTTAACAAATGCCATGGCAGCCCATGTTACACCCTTATAATTTCTGTTATAAACTGAATTATTTTCTACTTAAAATCATGTTGAATTTAATCTAAACTAGACAGTCTAAGCCATTAGTGGAGAAATCATAATTTGTATTAGTCTATCCCTGATTTAAAAATAGTACTGGCATCCCAGACCTGCATCTCTTATTTTTTCCAAGAAATTAAAGAGTTTAAACGAAGACATTTTGTTGTATCTACACACTGAATTTGTTGGATACAATCAGCAATCCATTGTCATTGTTTTTCCTCTGTTGCTTATAATACTTATGCTGTTGCTGCCCCATAACCCGCAAAGCCCTATGTTTGATGTAGCCCCTTTATCTTGTAAATATTTTTTGGAATGCCCCTAGATAAAATGAACTCAACGGAGGAAGTTTTTGGTGAAGAGGAAAGGTGGGGTTGTCTATTCCTTTCACCTTCGGATATCAGAGAAGTCGGAAGGTTCATCTCTCTGTTCAAAGGTCTCATGAGTTGCTTTGGAATTATGACCCCCAGATTTAGTGCGAGTGTGACCATTTATAGGCAGCCTGCTACCTCTTTCCCCTCTAGGATTTTGAGAATTCTCTCTGCTACCAGACTGAGGTTGAATTACAAGGTTTCCTTGGCCAGTGGATATTCTTGAGACTTCATTTGGCTTTTTCTCAGACTCCAGGGTAGATTCTCCATGTGGAATCACAGTACAGAGGCTCAGGATGGAGCACAAACTCCCCCAATTCTGCTCACACTGGGTTTGGACACTCTGGGTGATGGCCTCCTTGACTTCTTCTCCACAAGTGAGCAGTGTATTCACCAGATCAACATATGGTCTGAGAAAAAAAAAATGAAAAGATATAAAGTTATGGAAGAGTAGCAGATGCAATCAAGTTGACTGCAAATCAGTAGTTATACATTTATTATTTTATCCATTAGACCGATACACATTTTCATTAGGACTTGAATATTTCTATCACTGACACATGCATGCATACACATTCTCCAATTTTCTCTCATAGCAACAAACCCTATAGTGGTTGGCTGGACTTAGAGATAATGACTGACCAAGACCAGTTTTTCTCTCCTTACATGGAAATTCTGATCCACCCATGCAGTTTGATTTGTTGTTTCTAAACCATTTCTGGGAAATCACTATCTCAATGGACTATATCATCCTAATAATCATCCAGTAAGTTTGAATTAATCTGTAAAATCCATGACTGCTTTCACTGAAGAAATCAGAGTTATAAATCAGAGAGAGCTACAGGATGCACAAAACAAGAAAATGTTTTGTCAGAAAGCAGAGTAAACTATCATGTCCTAGAATTCTGGTCAACCACTTCATACTGGATGCAGATCAGCAGAAAAACAAAACCAAGGATTCTTGCATTGTTCTGCCATGATTATATGAGTCAGATAGGACAGGAGTGACCTGCAGCACCCTCCTTTTTCCTTTCTCATGAAAGCATGTATTCTGGTCTTCCTGCCCCATCTTCCTAGCCCCTTCTACTTCCTCCCTTCATCAGCCAATGCCAGTGTCCCAGTCCCGCATATTCCACTATACCTCCCTTCCCATCTCTCCAGCCTCTTTCTGTCCTTGCCTTGCTTCAGCTGACCCCAATTTATTGGCCTCTTCCTTAGTGCAATGGTCTCGGGAGTAAAGAACAGATTTCAAGCATGTCTTACTGATCTTCCCACTATCTTCTTACTTTCCTCCCCTTGTCCCAGCTATCTGCAAATGCTGACCCTGTTTCTCATGCTTACTCCACTTTTGAAATACTTCTGCCCAGGACAAGTACATTTTGGTCCATATGCTCATCAAAAGAGCCCTATTCTATTTTGTAAGTGGATTAAAGCATCTAAGCGGCAACTTTCAATTTGGGCCATGGACCACCCAAAATTTATGCATAAATGTTTTCCCTATCTCTAGTCTAGAAAATACAGTATAAACTCCTTACAAAAAAGCAGTAGGGTATCTCCACCTACTAATCAATTATGTATCTATGATTATCCATGGTAATTACAAGTAGTAAAAAGGTAATGATTTCTCAAAATTCTTAAAATTGGATATAATAATCTTCCTATTCTGATGTCCTAAAATGTTTGGCTGCAACTCCAACAATTCCCAATTCACATGACTAAGAGTTATATAAAATCACAGTTGCTAAGTTTTCCAGAGAGCTTCTTCACTGCCCATGATGAGATTTTTCAGATGTATTCTTGACTTTACTAATTCATGCATTTAATCAAAGAATCACTAATTCTCTTTTCCTTTTGAGTTATGTTTGTTTCCTGCTTCAGTTATTAGCAACTGAGCTATCACATTCAATATCAAGGCTCACTTGGATACAGCATATATAACAACCAGTTCTCTGATATTATTAAGAGTCTTTGCTCTGTTGGTTTACAGAGATATCCTGTTTTGGGAAATTTATCCTTTGCCTTACTGTCATTAATTAGATCTACAAGATACTACTCCATCTCTGCAAAGTTGAAACTTTTCATGATTCTGCACATCAAATGGGTAGTCCACTTTAAATTTCAGCAAATAGAAGTGGCAGGTAATCCCATCACCACCTTTAGGTCATTATATCTGATGCAGAATCTTTTAGCTTAATGGAGGTATTCCGTTTAACTTTAAATTTTATATTGGCAAGAAGATTATAATAATAAAGAGGTCTTTTTTGCCCACAAATCTCAGACTTTTCAGTGCTGGGGAATTTGCTTAGTTACTGGTTTTGAGATAAATGACAGAAACTGAATGCATTCCAATGTTGAGTCTCTTCCTAGAATTATGGTTCACAAATCTTGCTAATTATCTTCCAAGTCCACATAGTATAGCATGACAGCATCAGCCATATAATTGCATGATTCTTCAGTGTAAGACCACATTTTTCATTAATCGAAGACATAGCAGTTAAACATACAATAAACACCCAGTAATTTATGTTATTAGTTTCCATTACTCTTCAACTATTTAATGTATGAGCACTATGCCTAATAAGGTATTTGAAATACTTTTATATAATATCATGAACAACCATTGCAGAAAAATATAAAGAGTACAGGTAATCCTTGACTTAGGACCACAATTGAGCCTAAAATTTCTGTTTCTAAGCAAGACGGTTGTTAAGTGAATCTCCCTTTAATTCTTTGTCGGTAAATTTAAATTTAACACACAAGTTGTTAAGTGAGTTTTGCCCCATTTTATCTTTCTTGCCACAGCTGTTAAGTGAATCAGTGAAGTTGTTGAATTAGTCAATTTGGCTTCCCCATTGCTTGTCAGGTCACAAAATGTGATCACATGACCCCGGAACACCGCGACTGTCACAAATATATGCCACTTGCCAAGTGTCCAAATTTTGATCATGTGACCATGGAGATGCTGCAACAGTTATAAGGGTGAAAAATGGTCATAAGTCACTTTTTTTCAGTGCCAATGTTAACTTTGAATGGTTAAACAAATGGTTTTAAGTCGAAAACTACCGGCAATATAGAAGTCAGCCACAATTGGCCTATACTGAATATGTAATTATAGTTTAAGGTAGCGATTAGTGAAAATTTTGGATTCCTATTTTTTTAAAAAAGGAGTATAGTTGAGGTGACATTACTATATTTGAACGTGTGACGTGTTCTTGCGGCTAACTCATCTGCTGATAATGATTTGATTCCATTCTTTGGGATACCGGCTCATTATGGGCTCATTAAAGGCATTACCCAATGGACCCTATGGATCAGGGTTTTTTAACAGGAAGCCAAAGCAAAGACGGAAGAGAAGGGAGTCTTTTTTTCCTATCTTGAAGAACATTGGCATTTTTTGTTTTATTGTTACAAATGACTAATCCTCACGAAACTTCGAATTATGCTGTTACTTAAAACACAGTAACAGACGTAGCCTAGATACAGTTTATGTAAGAGACAGGGAAATTTGGGGGAATGGGCAATTCAGGCCTCTTCAAGATGTTATGAAGTATGAAATATAGCCATATGTGTAAATGAAAAAAAAACACCATTTTTTTCTTAAGCTCCCCACTCCAGTCATGGATTATGAAATATTTCCTAATATTTTCTTTTTAAACTGTACAAATAAACTTATTTCTTAAATGTCATATAAGCTAACAATGTACAGATCTTCAGTTCCTGCACACAGATAACTATATAATACAACTGCTGATGCGTATTTCTTACTCCAGGGTGCATTAACATTTATAGTCACAAAGGAAGGAGGCCGTTGCACTTGCTTGCTCTTACCAAGTTCTGACCTAGAGACAGCTGTTCTGGCACTAGGCCCTAAAGTCCTGGAACCAGCCAGAAGCTGGAAGCAGCACCCACATATTTATAGTTATAAAGGGTGATTTAAAAATATTATTATCAATATTTCAAGTCTTTGTTTCTCAATTCTGTTTCTTTCTACCAAAAAAAAAACAAAAACAAAAACAAAACAAAAACAAAAAACCACATTAGAAAACCCCATATTTTTCTACTGATTTACAAATTTTCCGGAATCTTTACATCTCTAGGTCAAGCTTGAAGGAAGAATAATTTATTTACTGTTGTCCAATGCCAAGTATTGGAAAAGTTGAACATTTGGTCTGAAATTTAAATGCCCTCCCTTTTTGTGGTTAATTACGACAGCAGGAGAGTAAAATTCCAGCCTTACACAGGATATATTTTTTTTCCTCCATTTAAACCTATGTCTATCTTCTTTCCTTGAATAATTCTTGCAGCAGCTGCTTTTTTTTTTGTCAAGGAACAGTATAGTTCTGCTAGGGACGCTTGCTGTGGATTTTGGGACATGTTCTCTTGTGCGTGCTTTGTTTGGCTGGGTCATTATTAGGTGTTGCATCTTGCCACTGAACTAAGTGAGTTGGGAAAAGCACATGGCGTTCTCTCCCAGGCAAATTCAGTGACGATGTACAATCTGTCAGCTTCTCCGTCTTGCCACAGTACACTGTCTGCAAACCACTGAACTAAACTATTACATTTAACTACCAGTCATTTATAATTTAGTTGGTTGCCAATTTCATGGAAGGGGCCCACAGGAATCTGAAGGACATATTTGTCTCACTCAGCATGCAAGACACATTTGTCTTGGCACTCTGTGGCAGAATTACTCAAGGACGCAAAATTACTTAAGACATTATCTCACCCAGCATGCAAGAGGTATTTAACTTGCCACTCCAATGTAGCATCAGTGCTGGTCTGAAACTGAAGCAAAACCTTTATTATCCCTGACACCATTCCATCTTTCAGGAAAAGGAAAACAAAATCCCACAACCCTAACTGTCATTAAAAGATGATCTGAATTTTATTCTCTATAGAACATGCATAATGCAACAAGATTCACAAATGAATGATACATTGCTTCAACACAAAGCAATAAAAAATTCAAGCATGTTTGAGTCTGTTGCACTAGGACTATTAGGTAAAACACTGTGGGCCATTTAAGTATCACTAAAGTAAATTGCAATGCAATATTACAAATGCCAAGGAATAGCCAGTAAAAAGGATTATAAAATTGGCTGTAATTCTGTACTAAATAACACATTTGAATGCAGATCAGATATTCGTGAATAGGTTCTTGCCAATAAAAATATAAGCAATATCAATAGGCTAGAGTTAATTTATTACTGTATAGTACTTTTGAGAAACCTTTCATTTGCTTTTCGTTGGTTTTAAGAATGTTGTTGAGTTTGGATTGTCTGTCTGGCTTATCTGTTTTTATTGTTTTGTATGCTGCCAAGAGTCCATTGGAATGGGTGGCTATAACAAATAACCTAATAAACATAAATAAACAAGGCAGATTATTATTGTCTGATGAGAGAAATGTAAAAAAGTTACCTCTTTTAAGATAAAGTTTCCTGACATATGTCCATTTTAGAATCAACTACTTAGCCTTGAATTTAACCATACTTCAAGAGATGTAATTATGTGCCCTGAATTTTACTCTTTGAGTAGATACCATGTGCAGGCAAAATATGGGGTACCTTAGTTAATGCCACGAACCATTTTATGGTTGATAGTATTTTATAGTTTGTGACCTTCTACCAAGACATTGTTTTATATATAGGATAAGAACTATACAATTGTAATATGCTGTAATTTTGGACTGGTTACTGAAAAAAAGCAATTCTTCAGGATAGACAACTTTACTCACAAATTTCTTGGTTGTTTCCATACAGCAATATCATTATTATCATCTTAGTTTACAGGTATATAGGTCTGTAAAAGGAATTCTGCTCCTACTCCAGAGTGGAAATTCTATTCCATTTCTGCAGCATGAATCGATTTGTAAAGAACAAAAAAGTTCCACAAGGGAGCATTTTCCAGAACAGATAAGAAAGGAGACTCTATTCTCAGAGAGCAGCGTGTGGAGCTGAATGAACACAGTTGCAGCTAAGATCTTCTCCCATGGTGATTCAAGTATTTAGTTTATTTATTATTTTCATTATTTCATTTGTTGCCCATCTTGCACATCAAGGCTACACTGAGCGCCTCCACTATCTGTCCAAGAAACACTGATTTATTCAATCTCCAACATCAAGCAATGCAAAGCAATTAATTAAGTACTGAATTGTAGAGAAAATAAGAGGAAGCATACAGGGGGAAGTTGTTTCTTCAACAACTGTTGATGTTAATTTTAAAAGCATTAAAAATGCTTCCAGATTTAATGGTTAAGTTGCTGTCAAAACTGCATTATTTTTAAAGGTATTCTGATCCAAACCAATGTCTAACACAGAATTCACTGAACATTTTAATTTAAAGGACTAATAATTGTAGGTTTTAAGTATCTGTTTGTTGTCATTCTTGGAACAGAAAAAATAAGCTTTTGAACAGGAGATTGGAGAAGTTAAGTGGAGCATTTGTACCTATATTTTGGCAGGTTAGATATTAAGAGTTAAGGTTTCTGCCAGCCATTCACAAAAAGTTGGCTTTAATAGAATTCTACATGTTTTAAGTTTCAGCAAATACTGAGAGTTTTTGTGTTGGTGAGGACTGGCATTTTCCTTCACGATGTGTAAGCCAATTATGCAACATGTGATGCAGTAACCAGAAGCACCCACAGAATACTTACAAACAGTGATGGAGTAAAAATGTCAAAAGGGTGAGCATGATCCAAGCCCCACCTCTTTTTTTTAATATGCATTGCATTCACATAAAAAGAGCATAGAAATCCAGTTGGCGCAGTGGTTAGAATGCAATATTGCAGGCGAATTCTGCCCAGTCTGGAGTTTGATCCTTATGGGGCTCAAGGTTAACTTAGCCTTCCATCCTTCCGAGATTGGTAAGAGAATCCAGATTGTTGGGGACAATATGATGATGTAAACCACCCGGAGTGTTGTAAAGCACTATGGGGCGGTATATAAATCTAAGTGCTATTGCTATAGGACACAAATAGTATAGTTATGCCAGCCATCTTGATTTTTTCTGCTCTTCTGGTGAATGCCCGTTTCTCTATATGATAATGTGATTATTTTTTTCTCTTACACAGAAATTCTACACCATGGCCAAATCTCCCATTATAATAGGAGCAGATCCATATACAATCTTGAGCATGTTCTCATTTCTGTGTGTGAGATAACCTTATCTGTCTTCTTCCTAATGCACGAATCTGAACAATACAATAGAAAGCAGAGGAGCTTTTTCATAGCAAATGACCAACAAAAAAAGAGAAGCCATTTTATATGTAGAACATGATTTAATTTTATTCCATTTTTATAGTATGTAAAATAAGCCTTAGATCTCACTATTATATCTGAGTATATTAAAGAGAAAAATCTGAGAATGATCATTTATTTATTTGTTCAAAAAAGGAAAGAAAGAGAGTGGGGCAAGCCATTTTATAGAGGAGGATTCTAAAAAATTGGGTGTGGCCATTTTAGTTCACCTTTGTGGCATGGCTGCAACTCTGTGGGGATATTTATGGCCAATCTGTATCGCTAAATGCTGTGGACTAAAATTTTCCTCTGGTTGAGTGGAATAAAATTAGGGGACATGCAACTTTCTGGAACTTATGCTATAGCAGATCAGATACTCCCTCTTTACTTACTCAAGTTGTAGCAAGTCTTTGAAATGAATCATCTCCACAATGACCTGGACATTCTCTTTGGCTGCAGAGCAGAGATCGTGCTTCTGATAGCATTCTCGTTGTAGCTGGAACACCATTTCTTTGATAGCAGGACATTTGCGACTGATACAACTAAACTTGTGCCGCAAGGCATGTGCCTTGCATCTCAGGGCGTCTTTAATGAAGGATTTCCCCTGAAATGAGAAAAGAACAAAATGCAGAACTAAACCCATGTCCATTAAGCATATGTCTTGTGATCCATCTCCATTTTTCAATTAACACCTGGAAAAAATGTTGCCTATTTACTTTTAAAAGTTCTAAGATAACAAATATTTTGCTCTAATCCCAATCAGTTAATTATTTCCTTCTTTGGTTGTATCAGGTGCTACAATGTCTGCTAGGCATTTAATCCTCATTAATATCTAATCTCCTTTTGCCATGCCTAACCTGAGCAATTCTGAAAGTAGAGGGGGAAAGAGAGGTTACACGGCTATAAAACCTGTTCCCCAAAAGCAACCCCTTTGTGAGGCAAATTCTGGAGACCATCCTTACCATTTGGGCTCATTGTGGCAATAGGAGGAAGGCTTCTGGTGTCGGGGATAATTAATGGGGACTATTTCAATAAACACAATTCTGTTTTTTTTTTTTTAGGATAAAAGATTTTAATTTTTTAAATATCCTGTCTTTATTATCTTTACAAATAAGGCAGGAAACATATTCAACACACCTTATTCCTCTTATTTTCCCTACAACAACAAACCTGTGATGGGATGAAACAGTATGACTGGCCCAAAGTCAGCTTTCATCATTAAGGCAGGACTAGAATGCATGGTGTCCTGGTTTCTAGTCTGATGATGTAGCCACTAGACCAATCTAGCTCTCTTTTAATGGATTCTTGCTTTGGAATCCATCCTGCAAATTTTAATTAGCCAGCAATGTAAGAATTTCAGAAGGCAGTAAGATAGAGCAGAATTGCTTATCTTATCAATGATACTTGGAGAGTTATATATAGGCTTTGGATATGCTTTCCTGTAACAATAGCCCTAGACAGACAAGTCAATTCAAAACCAACGGTGATATGCATTATCTTCATTCTCATGCCAGCAGACTCCAGAAGTCAGCCTAAAATCCCTCCATGAGACTGTGAGACTATGTTGTGATAAAGTTTGGTACAAAAATACTGATCTGCCATTATTCTTATATTGTTGTGCTGTGACATCCTTCTGAAAACTGACCTGCCAAGCTGACATTACTCATTATCCTACATATAGTGTCTTCACTGTTTGAATAGTCTGAAATCAGGCAATAGCATGTAACATTTTTTGGATAGTTGTCGTTGCCAACAGTTACACTGTCCTAGTCTCCTGCTTGCCATCCGTCATGCCTAGCAAGTGAGAGCAACCCCTTCAACTTTTCATAATGTATTTGAGTGATCCTGTCCTAATTACTGTGGAAAATCCAATTAATGCAATATTGCCAGCCACTAGCAGGTAAGCGATCAGGAAGCACACTGCAACCCAATCTTATGCTACTGGAGGGTGTCTGGGAAGAGACCCTGATTTTATATTGTGTGAGAGATTTCCTGCTCAAATGAGGATCTCTCAAATCTATTTCACACAACATTCAGAAATGATGCAAAGATGAAGAGAGTCTGCAAGAACAAAAATTCAATGTGTCAAACGCCACTTCGTTTGTTCTCTTTAGGACTCTGCTTGCTCACTTTCACTGTTTGGATATGCTTTTCAGAGTTACTTAGAAAAACTGGAAATAATTCATTCATCATGATCATGGAGGAAAATGAGGCTCTGTTGAAAAAATTTGAGTTTTCTGAGTTTAAAACTTCATCACAACCTGAAGTTAAAAAAGATTCCACAGTTCTGCTGAAACCAGTGAGTTGACTTACCAATGTGCAAAGTAATCTTTCTATTAGTTGACCTCTGAGGCTCACGCCCTCCCCATCCCACCCTAGCTTGGGCCAAAACCAAGACCTGGACAGGGATTTAGTTTCCACTCCCTCTGGAGAGAGAAAAACCTTGATGATAATGGTAATGGGCAAGAACAAACAGATTCCGATACTAAATTGGTAGCACAACTAGTAGCACAGTGTGCTCTTGAAAGATAGCCAGTATATAATGGATTCACACACTGCACAATGCCATAATGAGGTTTGTTCATGGCTTAGCATAATTATGTGGGCCTAGATAGATTTCAGGTAGATTTCAATCGTTAGAGGAATCATGGAAATTGGAGGAGGTCAAAGAAGATGAAGATGATTTTCTAGTTGTCGGGAGATGGGAATTTGCTATCCTAAGTATCTTCTGCCCCACTCCAGAGGTTAAGTAATGCAATGTGGCTTTTGTCTTCAGAGACACAACCCTCTTTGTGTGTGGAAATAAACTCACGTGAATACAGTGATGCTTCCCAATGAAAAAGAGTTATCCTATGCATGGACTAAGTCCATTAAATTCAATAAGATTTGTTGATAAGTAAGTGTATATCCTAGGACCGAGGTTTTATTTCTGGTAAAGTCTATTTCTCTCTTCCTCATTTTTTTCCTTTTGCCCATGGCCATTCAGGTAAACTTTTCAATGCTAAAACAGATCATCCCCAAGCCCAACTCACAGCATTGTGATATGAATATATATTGGGGGAAGGTTTCTTTTTAACTTCTGCAAAAGATTAGGAAGAAGATGGAAGCCTTCAAAAATTACAAAATTTCACTTCTAACTATACTTTTCACACATGCAAAGAAGAACTAAGCAAAGTACTAATTTTATTCCACCTTCTTTTGCTGCTAATTCTGAAAGTCAATCATATTTCAGTGATAAATGATAATGTTCTGAATAACTGGATAGCAATTATTTTTGCTGAATAATAGGAGATGGGCTGCTATTCCTTCTTTTTTTTTAAAAAAAGTTTCCCCTCATCCTAGCTAATGAGCAGTCACTAATCAATAAGACATAAAAGCTAACTTTTCTTTCCTACTCAAATTTTATGGCAATATAATTTTATCTGCAAAAACTGGAACTTTTTCTGTTGGCCCTTCATTTCTTATAAGCAGATTAGAGTCAACTTGTTTTTGTCTTAAAAAACTACCGTGCATTTGAAGGGAAGGATACTCTTTGCTAATCACCGACAAAATATTTTAGTTGTTAGTTTGGTTCTGTAATAGCAAAGGAAGAAATTTCAATATTATTTGGAGTTTATAAGAGATTATTATTTTGTCATAGAGCAGTGGTGGCGAACCTATGGCATGGGTGCCAGAGGCGGCACTCAGAGCCCTCTCTGTGGGCACGCGCGCTGTCGCCCCAATCCTAGGCCTTCAGCTGGGTTTTATAAAATCTTTTTGCTTTAGGCCTCCGCCGCCGTGTGCAAAAAAAAAAAAAAAGGTTCAATCAATTTCAACTTCTCGCAGGAAAAAAAAAGATCTTGCAAAGTTGAAATTGATTGATTGAACTTTTTAGTCCCATCATTACCACCGCAACCACGCTCACCCAATGGGCCGTGCCCACCCAGCATCTGATGATACTTAAGTGGGTTCTGGGTTGCAGTTTGGGCACTCGGTCTCTAAAAGGTTCACCATCACTGTCATAGAAACAGTCAGCAAGAATATGAAAAATATTAAAGTGACACTGGAATAAATATACTGTTACTTAGGATTTCTTTACCTAAAAATATTATGGGATAATGCACTATGGACTTGAATGAAAATCCTATCGTGAAAAATGTGTATCATAATATAAAATGAGGTCTTGTAAAGAAAGAAAAGGCCAAAGCAGAATATTTTTTTCAAAGCTTTTCAAAACAGTAATGAAAAGGATAAAAAAATTACTATTAATTTGGAAGGAAACAGACATTGTTATATTTCTGGAAAAGCAAATAAAGAGATTTCTAGAAAAATCTGTTTTTAAGCCCCAAGTTTAAACTTTTAATTACCAATGCACATTCTGTAAATTGCCAGTCAAGCCAAATACATCTGACCAATGTAATATTTTTGTTCTCGTTGTTGAAATGGGAGAATTGTTGTACAAGAAAGACATAATAACAGGATGCTTCAGCAATGTACAAGCATTTTGGAGAGAAAATAAAAAAGGCAAACTTAATATCAGATTCTTGCTAAGGAATGCACTTCGATGTTGGTGAGCTGCCAAGGAATCACTAGAATAAAGCAGCAGAGATATAGTTACTTCCAATGACATTGAAGCTCAATATTCATCTGCAGCAATGAATTGAACTGATCATATAAAGCAGCGGTTCTCAACCTGTGGGTCGCGACCCCATTTGGGGTCGAACGACCATTTCACTGGCCGCCTGGGAGCGCCTGGGCCTGCCTGCCACCGCCCCGAACGGCCGGCGGCCAAGGTAAGCCTAGCGGGGCAACGGCGGGCGCAGGGAGGGTTGCTGGCACGTGTGGGGCCCAGCGGGTGCCTTACCTGCCTTGGGCTGGGCCAGCTGGTGGCCCAGCCAGTGGTCGTCCTGCCTGCCGCGGCCGCCCAGGAGTGTCTGGGCCTGCCTGCCGCCGCCCCTTGCCGGCTATGCCTCAGGCAGCGCAGGGGGTGGCACACCGCGCATGCGCGGCACACCACGCATGCGTGGCGCGTGCTTACGACCGGGGTCACCAGTATAAAAAGGTTGAGAACCACTGATATAAAGGGAGTCAGAGGTAAGACTGAGCAAAAGAGAATTCCTCACTTGGCATCCTTGGACCCCCCCCCTTTCATTTTAATGTGCCAAGAAGCACCGAGAGCCCAGTCACTTCAGTAACGTTTCCAGTTCAGGACTTTAGGATAAATTGGAAATGCTGGCACTTCAAAGTAGCAAGAGTGAGATGACATCAAAGGATGGCCTACTGTTATATTATTGCAATATCAACCAGAATTAGTTTATTTAAAATGCCACCATGGCTTGGATCTGTCATAATTATTAATTTATACCTGGAACAATGAGCTTTCCAAATCAATAGCTCTTCTCCTAAATCCACAAGGCATCTACTATATAGTTTAGGCATGTGTTGATTTTTTCTTTCTCTTCATCCAAGCTTCCTCTGTGTGAATGTTATGAATAAATAGTTTTATATTCTTTCTCCCCTTGTAATATTTTTTCATGTTATTTGTATTTATTGTACTTTGTCACTGCATTTTAATTACTTTAATATTTCTAATTGTAAACTACCTAAGAAAAGAGACTGCATGAGACATGAAATTATAAGATCAAATAAATAAGGAATATTGGATGGGAATTAGTATCCATTAATCCAAATCTCTTGTTTTCACTGGATCAGGATGCATCCTTAATACGGGAGGCAAAGTGCTTTTCAAACCCAATAACAGTTTTCTTTAGCAATGGGATTTTCTACTGTGTAGTCTTTTCACAATTATTTGTGGGCTGAAAATTATTTCCCATAAACATTAACCTACCCTCAACTCAGCCCTTGGTAAGGAGATGATGCGTATTTGATATTTCACATACAATAGTACAATCACAGTGTTGTATAACTCCTAATGTGGAATTATGATTTAACTGGAAGAGCTTGAAAGAGAGCTGCAGTTTGTGTTAGGGCACTAAAAGAGGGTTGAATAGAAAGGTCAGATAGGTTTATCATAGAATATTTACAAAGAATTAATATTCTACATTATAAGTATATTCTGTTCCAGGAAGTTTAAAACTTGTCTGGTTGCTCTGTTTGATTAAAACATTAAGTAGTAATTTTCATAAAAGTCCACACTATTTTTATACCTTCACATTAGCAGAATCTGGGTCTAGTTGTCTACGCCTCAAATTGTTGCATTCGCTTACCTGGGCATCAAACTTTCCAGCATTGTGGAGAAATGTCATGCAGATCTCATGCAAACCTCGAATCTCACAAGAGTTGTTTTCAAAGCATTCAAACACACTGCAGCCAACATCGCCAGCACTGACCAGGCAGTGCTGGATTTCAGCTGAAAATGAACAGTCACGACAGTAAATGTCTACAACTATTATATACACCTGTAGGCAAAAAGAATACTTGTTAACAACTTCTTCATTTCAAAAGGGGAACAGAGTGGTAATGTATGAGATTATTGCTTTGCAAACAATTATATGATCAAAACAGAAAGTCACTGTTAAATCCATGTCTGAACTAATTTAGCAACACAAATCAGTATAATGCAGTGGTTTAAATTATTACACTGAACTGGAGAGACAAGTTAAAATCTGCATCCAGGCCATAAAAACCACTGATAGCCACGAAAATCACTGAGTGAACTCTCATTTTAATCTACCTCAAAAGGTTATTGTATATAGATAAATGGAATGAGATGCAAGTGTACCTCTTTGATCATCATGTAAGGGAAGATAATTAAAAATATTGTGTTGATTTGATTGTCATGAATTAAGGTCCAAAATTCAATATTAGTTCAAAGAAAACCGCATCTAAGAAAATTATGCAACTGTTTACTGGGTTTTCTCATCTGAACTAGTATTCCCAAATACTTCATTTAAAGTAAGCGCATCTTTCAATTAATGAAATCATTCACAAAGTCTCAGATAAATCTGCAGGTCAGAGCTCCCCACCCTTAATTTTCTGATTTCCTTGACAACTCTTGAAAATGGATTATATTTTAATATTCTAGGCATGTTTACCAGCATATAACAACATTGTGTTAAATGAGTTAAATATCGAAGTGAAACCTGTATCACTGACAAGAGTATTAGAAAAAATAGATATTCTACAGCCACCTCCTCCAGGGATATTCAAGCCACAGAAGACTCCCAAGGATTTCCTTTTAATACATTACAGAAAACAGGAATATCTAAAAAGACCAAGTTCGTGCCAATCTTGGGATTAATTGCATAGAAATAGAATACTGCAAAATAAATAATGCAGCCAATCCCTTCTTTAAGGAAAAAAAAAAAAAACCCAGAGCAGAGCCTAAGAAAGCAAAAGGGGATGTTGCCGCTATATCGCCTTCTTTTCAAGGAGACTGCCTGCACTGTTTTATACAGAAAGGGGAAGGTGCACATAGCGAAGAGGGAAAGAGTTTCTTTGTCCAGCATTGTGTAAATGTGCAGCTTGGATTTAGGTGCGGAGTTTTAGCTTTAAGCTGGCATCGGGTCGGATGCAAGAGTTCCGATCACATGTCCTGGCCTCCGCGGGCTGAGCTTTGCCTCCCGGAGGGGGGGGGGTGATTCACGACGTGTGGACGCAGTTGTCTACTCCTGCCATAAGGAGCGACTCTATACTCTGCCAGTCCTGTGGGTAGCTTCAAAGACTTGGGCAGTCAGCGCCCCTACTGTGAACAAGAGGGGAATAACCGAAAAGGGGGTCTTCCCAAGTTTGTTTCCATTTATGCTAGGCAAAGGAAGCGATGAGATTGTTAAAAAAAGCAAAAATGATGGGAGAAAATACCCCTACTAGTTGGATGCTCTCGCTTACAGCCGAAAAAGGATTTTCAGGACCTTTGTTCGAGTCTAGTCCACTCTGAACGTCTTCCTCCTTCTGCATTAAATGCTAAACCTGCGCCGGCGTCTGTTCCCTCCCTTCTTTCTGCCTTTCTTTTATTTAAAGGGTGGGAGCTGACCAATTGAAGTGGTGCAAAAGCAAACGTAGTTCCAGCAAGCCCTTCTAATCGTGGGCTTTCATTTTTAAGCAGAGAAAGAGAGGGCATGAAAATGATAATCCGGCTTAACTTTCACTACAGTATTGCATTCCCTGTGGGATGCCTTCCTTTGCCTAGTTAGAAGATGTTGTCTCTATATAGAGTAGCTCAAATGGTGGAACACGTGCTTGCTAGCCAGAACTTCCAAGCTGCTGGAAGCATTTCCAATTCCTTCGCTGACTTCTGCTTGTCACTCCCAGCGCCTATAAGAACGGTGCTTATCACCTAGCGACGCAACTCCTATCTCGGATACACGCTGCACTGAAGTCAAAAATATCAAAAAATTCCCCCACACCTGGTTCTGCACTTAAACTGCAGCTTCCTCGCCTCAGAAACTGAATCAGACACGGATGCGTTTTAATCCTCAAGAAATAACCGCGTACCTGAATTTTGCAGAGACATCCGCCCTTTTTGCTGAGGAGCTCTGTCCTGGGCACCTTCCGGAGGATGCGTGGCTTCGGTGCCCACCACCGCATCCACACTTGCAAAGACCAACGCCAGGGTCACCAATTTCCGTAAGCACTCTGCACACATGGTCCTTGTGTGTACTCAACTACGCCGACTGGAGGCCGCCAAGCCCCCACCTCCCGCTCGGCTTCTTTGCAAAAGACCCAGAATCTCCTACCGTCCCAACTACGCAGAGACTGTGCGAAGCGAACAGCGTTGATAGAAGTACTGAAAGCGGCCCGGAAAGGCAACGGATGGTTCCTCAAATACGTCTCAAAGCTCGGGTGTCACTTGAATGAAGGAGTCCAGCAGATGTTGTCCGCCAACCCGAGCCTTTATTTCACTCTGACACCACGCTCGGGGGCGTGGCCTCCCCAAAGTATTACTACGCACTCGAGGGAGCCACGATTATATCTCGGGATGCGAAGTTGCTGCATCCAACTGCAGGTTGCAAAAGCAAGCAGCAGCGGTCGCGCTAAGTAGATCACGACAAAGCCAAGTGCTTTGCATCGAATGCAAGATCGGCGGGAAAAGCCATGCTATTGCAGTGGAAGAGAATAGGATCTGGAACGATTTAAACCCCCTCCCCCATTTATTCAGTGTACCCTCTCTGTACGTAGGCAGACCATACCCACCGGTGATGCTAGCAAAAAAATTGCTAAGGTAGACAAAGGCCGCTAATTTAGGAGAAATTTCTTTAGGTAAATGGAAGATTCTCTTGTCTCGTGTAACAGCAAACTGAATTAGTACGAATAGCAAAGGCGCGACCTGGGGGTAGGTTGCGAAGATCCAATTTCGAATGAGACAGAGCATATGGTGGCAAGAGGATCCTAAAGCATTTGCAATCTGCTCGTGTTGCTCTGAAAAGGGAAAGACAGCCGAGATTTCATTTGAGATCCACTTGAGTTTCTGGGTCCGATACAGAGGACTATAAATTGGGAAACGCGCGCGCACAATGCTCATGCACGCGCAGGTTGATATCAGCAGCCTGGCTAAGTCCTTTGACGATCTAGATTCATTTTCTTTACAACTTAGTTGGCAGTATGAGCCGTTTATAACTGCCTAGAACTCCTGCTCCCTTCCCTGATAGCGGGTGGGAGGGTTTGTGTCTTTTTTGCTGAATGGAAAAATAAAGATGGAACATGTTCCAATGGAGGAAAAAAAAAGTTGGTTTGCTCCATATTGAACCTTCTCCATCCCCGATCTTACCGCGCTCCCGGTCACGAGGATTTCAGTTTGCAGGCCTGCGGATTATTGGGGAGGGGGGCAGGAACTGATGAAACCCTTTCTTCTGTAACTCCACCGCAGTCGTTGCATCATCTCTGTTTTATAGTGACGGATTTGCTTTAAAAAACAAAACAAAACTCCTGCCCTCTTTTTCCCTGGTCCGTATGGAACCTGAAGCAATTGAAACCTAAGGACGGCGAAGTGGTCCCACCTCAGATTCTCATCGAAAGCAAAGCTTCCGGCTGAGTCACCCGGCGGCCGCTAACTGCAAAGTATCGATATAATCGATTCAAATCAGCCAACCAACCACCTCGCCATTTGCTAAGAGGAAGGCGGGAAAAAGCAGGTGGCGGTGATGGGCTGCGGGGGCGCGCCTTTTAACCCTCTCCCGCCTCCCTGCGTTGAAGCTGCAGCAACCGACTTGAGAAATTTCATCAGACGTTCCACCAACTTCTTGCCTCCAGCGCTGCACTGCGAGGGAAAGGGATGCGGACTTCCCGGGCCTGTCTGGCTAGTGCGAGCGAAGTTGCGAGCCGAAGAGAAGGCGAAAGAGCAGACGGTTCTGTCCCGGCGCTCTAGGTTAAGGGCCGGGCCAAGCTTACTTCCCGGAGGAGGAGGGGCAGCGCAGCGCAGGGAGGAATGTCTTCAGCTGCTACCGCCGCCGCCGCCGCGGTTCTCCTGCTCCCAGCTGTCAAAATGCAGTTGAGAGAATCCACTCACACCTCCAGAAGCAAGCGGATTCTGGGAGGAAGACGTGACATTGCGCGGCAGAGCCATGGAGGTCCCTTCTTCAACTCCCCCCCCCTCCGCTTCATCCAGCGCCAGGCATAGAAACCACGCTTCCTTTCAAGCCGCCTCACGTACAAAGCATCACAAAGTTTCTTTGTTAAGATTTTTTCCAGGCCCTGCGTTCTGGAGAGAGAGAGAAAAAGAAGAGGGGAGAGTAATTCGGGAAGATTATTGTGGGCTTTGACTTTTTATTTATGATGGATCCTGTGTCATTCCTTCCAAGAGTTTCTATGCCTTTCATCACAAAGACTTCTCAAGGACGATTTAAAGCCCAAAATAATTATTGTATGCCACAAACCAGACACTCAGAACAGTAGCAGTTCAAAACAATAGACAAAGCCTGTAGAGTGCAACGTTTAATTAAAAGTGAGCCTGGGATAGAATTGTAAAGATACTTTTGAATGCTAGTAAAGGGGATATTCAAAAAAACATTGGGCCGCCACCACTTAAAAAGTCCTGTGTTCACTAGATTAACATGCCACCGTATCCTAATATAGTTCCCCAGTCACAGGTATGGATGACTGAATTGAAAAAAAGATTATTTTGAGAAAAAATGGAGGATTTACAGAGAAGAGAAGGTGAAGTTTACTGTTAATGCCCATTGGTAGTTTACTCTGCTAAATATGCTTAGTTTTGGATTCATTTACAACTCTGTTTTCATCTGATTAACTGACAACACAATAAAAGAACTTGCATTGCTACTGAGTGGGCACCAAACAATGCTAGCATGGAATTGGCTCTCCCATTGTGAACTCCTGTCCTTTGGTCACTGCTTAATCACTGACAAGTAGTACCTTGATTCCACTGATAACATCCACTATCATCAAGGTGATTTCTAACTTTGTTGCCGTACCCTTTCAACACATAGGATGGCTCATGGCTATTCCCATGCTCTCTTTCAGTTCAGCTCTCTTTCTTTCTGGGCCTTTGCCCACTACTGATAAAGGGTATTCCTCTTGCATGTCTAACTGTGTACAAACATGCCCTGACAACATATTTTTCCTTTCCTGTCTCCTGATGCTGCTTTGATCTGAAGTAAAATGGTTTTAAGTTGTCTAGCTATAACTGATGTTAAAGTAATGGTTTTTCCCTCAAGCTCTCCAGCATCTAACAGTAGCCATAATTTGTCTAAAATCTTTTATACTTCACCATTTTGGAGATTTAAGTCAGGTAACGAGTAGTGATGAGATCAAAACAGCTGATAGTGGCTGTTTCAGGCTAATGTTGGAGTGCTCCTTCTTAACTTTTCCCTGATTAACCTCATGTAGTTGACTCCCAAAAAGGTAAACCCAGTGCTGATAACCTGTCAGAGTTGGGTGATAATGACAGAGTGCTCAGTGCACAGAACTGTGAGTACTTTAACTCTGCGGCCCTTCCTGGTTTTGTGCAGGCCTAAAAGAACAAAGGAGTGCAATGATGGGACAGCCAACCCTGCCCCTTTGCCTCTGAAGGATAAAACAGAATCTGGCATTTATTGTCTTTATAAAGAAAAAAAATGAAGGAGAGAAGAATCTTAAAAGTAGTGGTTGGGATTGATTTCTTTTCACAATTCCAATCTTTTTTAATCCATCTTATATCATGACAGGATGGGTACAGGAGGATGGACACAGAAAAGAGCCCAGAAGGGAAGATTCTGTGGCAGTGCTAGATTGGCAGATTTCCTGGCTGGCTGGTGGGCTACATACAGAACAGAGGAAAGTAAACAGGAGAATCAACCCAAACTGTAGCTGTGCTTATTGTATGCTGTGCACACATACAACATTGGGATAGCACCATTCAGTAGTAAGTTACAACAGACACAGTAGAGGCAGAATAGAGATTGGCAGGCAGCAAATTTCATGCTGTTCTCTCCCCCCCCCCCTGCCAACTCAAGAATGAATGGATAGTACTTTAATTCAGGAATGTTGAAAGGCTCTGAACTATCTTTAGCTATTCTGGAATAATAGTGGTATTTTTTTTTTTTTAACCTTTCAGCCAATACCACCTTATCATGGCTTCGTCATTTTCAAAATGTTAATGCTTTGTCACCTTTTATTTACGTGGAAATAATCTCTCGCCTTTCTTCTAGGAGCTAAAAATTTGGGAGTGCATCCAAAATACTATTGCCGTTCTAATGGAGCAATTGACAATGTAGAGCAGACATGTCAAACACAAGGCCCGGGGGCTGGATACGGCCCGTGAAGTGGTTTCATGTGGCCTGCGAAGCCATCCTGGAAACAGTGAGGGAACAGCCCAGGCCAGCCGGGAGCCAATGTACAATTTTGTAGTGGCCATCTTGGTACTTGCCCCGGTGGACCATGCCTTGCCCCGGTCCCACCCCCTTCTGCCAGAGACCCTCAGATCTGTTCCACTCCTGCTCAGGCCCCCACAGGCACCCTTGATGCGAATGATGTAGAACTGGCCATGCCCACCCATTAGGCCACACCCACTTCATCCACGCCCACCCAGTAGGTTGCACCCACTCTGGCCACACCCACCCAGCCTCCCAAGGGCAACTGCAATGCTGATGTGGCCCTCAGTGAAATTGAGTTTGACACCCCTGATGTAGAGTCTTTCTCCAGTACTGAACTGCAAGCCATCCATCTGTAAATCATCACAATATAATATAATAAGAATAAATTAATGCCAGCACAAATGCTGTTCTTATAGTCAAATTCTGTCCTTTCCCTACTGCATTTCTTCAGAGTCACTGCTAAATGGTGAGTACACCGTTGTAATAGCTAAGTGATTGGTTTTCCTGACTGACTTTGATATACTCTCTTTTAAGTACTTGTATAACACCACAGAGCAAGAAAACATCAGCCATGGCAGAAATAGGAATTAACCACCTCCTGTTCAAGGTAGAGAGTGGCGAAATTTAACACCTTGAGTCTAATCTTGGATGATGGAATAAGGAAGAAAATATCTTGATGCCAGTATAGTTGATTATGACTCAAGACTGTTTCCCTTACGGGGCAGAAAAAATAATGGCAACATTGATTTTTCTCTCTTAAAGTGCTTGCCTCCCATTGATGAGCTAACTATATCAGGATGAAATTTGTTGCTTCCTTATATTGATCCCTATCCTGCCTCTACTACTTTTGTTCTCTGTTATTCCCAATCCCAGTCTGATAGGAGATCTTACTTATTTTTTATATTTAAATCCTACCTTTTTGTTGGAGCTAGGGTGACCCTTTGCAGCTGGATAAACTTTGAACCCCAGTCTCATCTGCTTTCCATCTTTTTGAAGTGCTTTTTTTAACTCTGAAAATTCTGTTTGCTCTCCCTCTTCCATTGCTGAATGTTGGTTTGAGGCTGTGGGTAATCCAAGGCTGATTCAAATGGAAAGAAGCAGCACATGGCAAAGGCTTTCAAAGACCAGGTGAGCTATAAATTGCAGGTAAGATAGTATATGTTTAAATGTTTATGCATCAAAAAATCCCCAAGTAATTAAAGTACTGCAGGCCACTTTAGCTGACTGTGTTCAGCAGGTCAGCGGTTCAAATCTCACCGGCTCAAGGTTGACTCAGCCTTCCATCCTTCCGGGGTAGGTAAAATGAGGACCCAGATTGTTGGGGGTAATGTAAATATATATATATATATATATACATTGCTTACTGGTGTACACCGCTTAGAGAGTGCTTGCACTTAAAGCGGTATATAAGTCTCATAAATAAATAAATAAATAAATAAATCTGGGAGACTAGGATGCCACAGAAAAAGATGATGCAATAATATGTAAATTCTTCCCTTGCATTGTCTTATGGTCCCTGCATTCTGTGGGGAACCATTGTAACATGAAGTACTCATAGGATCTGAAATAGTGCATTCCAAGAAGTTATGGTTTTATGTGCTTTTAGGGGAGGGAGCGGCATATTGGATCTGGACTTCCAGTTCCTGAAGCACCCAAATTATTGTGAATCTCTTAACAGCAGATTTCATAACCCAAGCCAGGATGTGCTTTCTATTCTAGAAGATGTGGAAAGAGTAGTCAAATGAAGCAAAATGGACACGTGAGACATATCCATTCAAAAACGGCAAACTATAGCTAGTTAGGTTCTCATCTACCGCTTTTGCTTTTCTTTTAGTGATGCCTTAGACCTAAAAATTCCTTTTGTCCCAGAGATCATGCATATCTCATCCTAAATGAATGCTGAAAGTACCCTAATGCAGTGCATGATGTTCTAGAAAACTGGTGTTCCCCAGGGTGCTTTTATTCATGGATATTATTGTAGTTATTTCAGCAGTAAGAATCACATAGTTCAGATAGTAATGCCAAAGCATTCTTTTGTTGGTGTGTGTGTGTGTGTTGTAATACATGTGAAACACTTCTAATGACTGACATATTTGAGAATAGAATCAGTAGAACAGAAGGCCTAAGTGTTTCTTAAGAATTAGATCATGGGGACAGTCTCACAATGTACCAAACTGTAAACTATGGTATACAAATACCGTAATGGCAGATTTGTAGATAACATGAAACCCCAAACCTTACAAACCTCATTAGGACTTAATTCAGTGTAGAACAAAATTACTGGATAGTGTCACATATAAATTAGTAACTCTAAAGGTAAATGAGAACTTTATAGAAAAGAAACAGGATACATTTTTACATGCTGAATTTCTTATCTCCATTTATAGGAAGGGAGAATGCAAGTAATATTTATCAGGAAGCAATCTAAAACTAAGGAGAAATTTCCTGACAATTAGAACAATTAATCAGTGGAACAACCTGCCTGCAGAAGCTGTGAATGCACCAACACTGGAAGTTTTTAAGAAGAGACTGGACAGCCATTTGTCTGAAATGGTATAGGGTTTCCTGCCTGAGCAGGGATTGGACTAGAAGAACTCATCAAATTTGCAGATGACACCAAGCTGGCAGGAATAGTCAACACTCCAGAAGACAGGCTTAAGATACAGAAGGATCTGGATAGACTTGAACACTGGGCGCTATCTAACAAAATGAAATTCAATGGTGAAAAAAGCAAGGTTCTACATTTAGGCAAGGAATGTAGAACCTTGTAGAATGTAGA